AAATAATTATTAAAATTATTAATAAAAAGTAGTAATAAATAATAATACTTTTTTAAAAGAGTATAGTAGTTCTATATTACTCTATATATATAAATCTAAAGAGTTCTATATAATAATCTCCTTATTATTAGAAGGCTCTACTTAAATTAATTTTAAGATTACTTTTATTACTAGATTAATAATATATAAGATATATAGAATATATTCTTTAATTAATAAAATACTAGCTAGACTAGAATTATAGCTAGGCTAATTAGTACTATAAATTTAAATATAGAATATAAGCCTAGAGTATAATATTCTATTATTTAAAGTATTATTTACTATAATAAATAATACTCTATTAATAAAGTTATAGTAAATAAGGATATTAAATACTACCTTAGTAAGTTAATCTCTAGTATAAGTACTAATAAGGGGGGTAAATTCTAAAAGTAGCTTGTAAATCTCCTAATCCTTATTAATATAGTAAAGGATAATAGCTATAAATAAGTATATACTAGGGTTTATCTAGTAGTCTAAAGTAAGTAATATTATTATACTAGGAGGGATTTTAGTAAGCTATTCTAATATTAATATTTCTACCTTCTTAATAAAGAATAATATAAGTTAATAGTATAATAAAATTAGAAGTAAAATATTACTAGTAGCTAGATAAAAGAGCTATTAAAATAAAGATAAGTTAATAAAGATAAATAATAAGTAATAGTTAAGAATAAACTCTAAAATATACTCCTTAAGTTATTTAGAAATATATATAAATTCTATTTATAAGGTAAATACCTCTATAATTATTTTAATATAAGATATAGATTTATAATAAAAAGGAGAAGCTTAAAAATAATAAACTAGAGAGCTTATATTAATTAAATAGGGTATAGCTATATATAAAAATATTATAGTATATAAGTTATATTTAATAACTAGGGTTCTATATAGGAATTTAGCTTCTTTTATAAATAGCTACTAAATATAGAAGGAGTAGCCTATTATATAAAAGTAGTATTATAAATACTTTTTATTCTAGATAGTATTTCTCTATTAATAATAGAAAGTCTCCTATATTCTCTACTAGAATAAATTTAATAATATAATAATTTACTATATAATTTTATAAATTATTATAATTATAAAATTTAAGCTTAAATTTTATTTAATATAGATATTATAAGTTATTAAATAGTTAGTTTCTATTATTTTATATTTATTATTTATTCTTACCTATTTATTCGAAGTACTAAAAATAATAATAGACTCTTTAGTTATTATATTCTATAAATTTTAGTTATATTTATATAATAAAGTAGAATTATTTATATATCTAAGGTCTATATAGATCTAAATTAGATATAGCTTTAGTATAAAAAATTTTAGTAAAAGAGAATAAACTTATATTAGGAGAAGAAGAAGGTATAACTACCTTAATTTATAAAAAGTTTAGGGTATTAGATATTTTAATAGCTATAATTTAGTAAGGCCTCTAGGAAAATAGGTAGTAGAATATAGTATATATTATAGTTTAAATAGAATATAGTTACTTAGGGCGGGGATAATTAGTAGATAATAACTACTAATAGATAGGAGAATATTCTAATATCTATATTATTCTATATCTCTCCCTTTTTACCTAATAATCTAATAAATATAAGATTTATATAAACTAAATATATTATAAAGTATTTAAGATAAGTAATAGTATTAGCTAGAAATATATATATTAGGTAAATAATAATATAAGGGTTAATATAGATCAGTCTTTAAT